ATCATTAATAATCAAAGCATAATGATATTAACCTTGACCAGCAGGGCAGATGGAGGAACTTGAGCTTGATCAGAGGAAGCTCGCAAGGAATAAGCTGAGCTAGCATATATAGAAGTAAGTAAAGTACTTAGCATAATCTGGTGGGCTGGAGATGGAGATTTATGGGCAGTTTGTGGAGGATAATGCGGTGTGTGACGAGCTTTGGGATGAAAATAAAGAAAATAGTGAGCACCAGTGTTTGAGAACCGGCCCCCTGAAAGCATCCGAGAAACAGAGCAGAGAGAGAGAGAGAGAGAGCGAGAGAAAGAGAGAAAGTTGTTGTTGACCCTGAAGCTTTGCCAATCCCCAAGAGGCCAGAAGAGAAAGGTAGAGGAGAGAGAGAGAGAGAGAGAGAAGGCAGGATTATCTGGTGAGGTCATATATCCTACAGTGTGACTACCACATTTAGTGAGTGCACATACACGTTTGTTTTTATACAATGTCAGGATGTGGAATCGTGTCTGTTCCCCCATATGTATACATTATCTCGCTGCTGTCGGAACAAAACCTCGTATCTCTATTTTTGTCATTTTTTCATAATTTGAAAGTGCCTGTTGCCCTTTCCATTGTATGTGAATTTCATGATGAATATTCCTGGTTCCATTGACTTACATTAGGTAAAGTATATTTTTTCCTTCTCCTGTAAAGTTATCATTTTGGAGATACAAGGTTTTGTTCCAACAACAGAAATATGTATATATTTTATGTATGTATTATGTATGTCGTCACTGACTAAAGAAAAACAAATATCTTCAAAATGGTGATTTTACAGGAGAGGGCAAAAACGTTCATTGACTTCAATGTACGTTAATGTAAAGTAATTTTATACTAAGCAGTTCTGGAGCCTTTGTATTGTATGTAAGTGCTTATGTGTAATAATAATGTATACTATATGCATTATAAACAATACTGTGCAATGGTCAGAGCCCTTCATTGATTTCATTTTATTTATTTGATAAAGTACAAGTTATTAATTTTTCAGGGGATATATCTGAGGAGATTAGATATAAGCCAATCTGCTTGCATTTGGAAGAGTACAGGTGAAGGAAAAAGTGAAAAAAACAGGAGTTTAAAAAAGCAAGAGTTCAAACATTTTTTAAAAGCTACAGAGAAAATGGGATTCCTAACAACCACCTGAAAGACCTGGTAGAAAACTGTCCCCATCAGACATCACTGAGTGTTCATGGGATTGATTAGATCATGAGAAGCAAATGCAACTAAGGTCTAAGACTGAACTATGGAGGTGTGGAAAAATATCCCTGCAGATTTCTTTGAAAACCTGACAGTGAGTCTTCAGAAAAGAATGGACACTGCAATTAAGACAAACAGTGGACTCACTAAATACTGATATATACTTAATTAAATATTGTGTGTTTTCTGCTTTTTTTAAGTGTGGTCTCTGTATTCTATATGAAAGTGCTTAAATATAATAAGAATATTCAAAGCCTAACTGTAAACCTTCACCTTATCTAGGCTCAACATGCATCACAGATTCAAGATGCATCAGTAAAACATTTGCTTTCGGAGGGAAAAATATCCCTGCGGCTTTCTTTCAATATGGTAACTACTGAAAAAAGAAAACAGTGTCCAAATTCTGACAGATGCAGATGTGCAAAATGAGGGAATTAAGTGGACGAACAAACACAGCTGCTTGACCTTTGTCTTTGCATATGAGGTTAGCCAGATGTGGATATTTGTCTCATATTTGAGTGTGTGTGTGTGTGTGTGTGTGTTGTCAGTGATTATCCTATGCTAAGAGCCAGCTGTGTTGACTAGCAACACTTGTGTAAAGAGCCTGCTGGCTCGGTGACCTCTAGTCCTGCAGGGGGTCCAGCAGAAATCTCTGCACTCCAGGCCAGTATGAGGCTACTGTTTCAGCAACAGCAGCATTCTGACTCTTACGCCTGAAACACTTTTTATTCAGTTATTAATTTTAAGGCTTGTAGTTGTATGAACATGTTTGGGCACCCCTGACCAAATTACATATTTTGTTGATTTCTAAACATCCCTGCAACAACCTATTAAAAAAATACACACATGTAATGCAGAGTTACTTTACAGTAGATTAACGTAAACAGAAAAAAAATAAATATGTGTAATGTGGGATGCCCAAACTCTTGCACTGAAGTGTGAGCACAGTGCTTAATAATCTGGTGTTTAGTAAGCAGCAAGGGTGGATTCCTCTTTAAGAAGAAGGCTTAAGTTGTGGTGAGTGTTATGGCAGTTTTACACCAACAGACCCTAGAACCTTCTCAAAGTACTTGTGCTTTGTACTTTTGCAATCCTGCTGCTACAACTTAAAATGTAGCTGTTTGCTTGTTTATTATAGGCCTACACTCTCAAAAAAGGGTTCTTTAGTAAAGAAAATGGTTCTATATAGAACAATGAACACTCAAAGAACCCTTTGCATGATTAAAGTGGCCTTTACATCATGAAAGGTTCTTCAGATTGATGGAGAATGTACTATAGTTGGTTGATCTTTGACCTTTTTGAAAAGGATTCTATATAGCAACAAGCCGAGGAATGCTTTTTGGTACATATACCTGTGTGTGTGTGTATAATAATGAATTTTAGAATGATGAAATAATGGTTACATTTAGAAATTATAGAGTGGGTTATTTTGCTTTATATTGACTTTGCACTAATTATGTTATTACATTTATTACATAGTTATTTCCATTTACATTTGATCTTTCTGTATTGACATTCTGCTCTTCTGCCTTTTTCCAACCATTTGTTTTTAATGTCAATTAAAAAAAAATGAGTAATGTGGAAAATTTGGCTGGTATTCAGATTTGGCCAAATTGAGACTAAATGAGACTGCCAATCAAGTCATTTTAAATGGCGTTTCCAATCAGCAGCCAATCGATAGGAGCATCCATAGGCAGCACTGCCCCATATACAGCCACAGTCATTCCAGCAGAACAGAACCATCAATGTCAATATTAGAGTTGTGTTAGCATGAGCCGTGATCAGAATCAATCCCCTCCTAAACCAGCAGCAGATGGGGCGGCCTCCTCTGATGTCGAAAAGAGGGCTTGTAGGTCTTGGGGTGCGGAATCCTGGGGTCTAAAGGGGTCAGGCGCAGTGTTGCATGACGTTACGCGAAGCTGACATTGCTAATTGTGGACATCTGGGAGGGCTCGCGGTCCGTCAGTGGGTGATGCTAGCGAGACGGCGACGGCCGTCAAAACAGTGTCAGCGAGAATCAAAGTCCTGTCAGTCAGAGAGGGTCGTAGAACCGTTAGAACAGTGGAGTGGATGATTGCAGCCGGAGTGGCAGAACAGAGTTTCAGTGGATAAGGTTAATGCGCCTGTCAGTGGAGCCGAGTATGTCGATAATTTCCATATTATGACCACTATATATGATATATCTGAGATCTTTTGGTGCTAGAAGCCTGAATTTACAGTTGATAAACCCATAGACCTTTACAACTATGTTTAATTATGTAACATACCTGAATTCATAATTCATTTATAGTTAGTTACATAAGAAATTGCATTAATATATGATTAACACTATATGGTGTATGTATGTGACCATCACTCCTGTGTGAGGTTTTTGGACAGCCCATTCTAAATCCATGAGCATATGGATGCATATATATACATATATAGATCGCTGTTGTCGGAAGAAATCTCCAAAATGGTAACTTTTCAGGAGAAGGAAAAAACCTACTTTACTGTCAATGTAAGTCAATGGAACCAGACTTTTTCCAAGTCATTTTGGGTTGTTTCTTTTGGTCCATTCATAATGAAATTTACATAGAATGTAAAGAACAACAGGTATTTTCAAATTTTGTCACAAACTCAAAAATGTCAAAAATGGAGATACAAGGTTTTCTTACAAGGCGATATATATATATATATATATATATATATATATATATATATATATATATATAATATTTGCCCCCACTGCTGCTGCATCAGTCATCAGCCTCCATTTTTCTGGGACGGCTTTCCACAAGATTTTGAAGTCTGTTGGATTATTCTGTCTAAAGAGGCACTGATGGTAGATAAGAAGGCCTGTCGCTATCACATTCCAATTCATCCCAAAGGTGTTCAGTGGGGTTGAGTTCAGGGCCACTGGAGTTCCTTCACACCACATCCATTGGTACCATTCTAGGTGGCATCCTACGACAGTGCCATGTTCAAAGTCACTTAGCTCTGTGGTGCATTCACTGGGTGGTCCCGCTCTGTGAGTTTATGTGGTCTACCACTTCATGACTGAGCTGTTGTTGCTCCTAGACACTTCTAATCCACAATAATAACACTTACAGTTGACAGGGGCAGATCTAGCAGGACAGAAATCTTATGAACTGACTCGTAGCAAAGGTGGCATCCTATGACAGTGCCATGTTTAATGTCACTGAGCTCTTCAGTACAACCCAATCTACTGCCAGTGTTTGTCAGTGGAGATTGTCTATGGAGATTGTCTATAGAGATTGCATGGCTATGTACTTGATTTTATACACCTGTTGTATAGGTGTGACTGAAACACCTGAACTCAGTAAGGGAGTACATACTGTATCGACGAGAGCACCTCCTTTTCCAATTGTAACAATGTTATAAAATGACAAAAACAAGACTTGACAGCACTCATGCAGTACTATTTTGAGAACACCCAAAGTAACTAAAGTATACTTCAGAAGAACTGTTGTGTTCAGGGATTCTGTCAGACTTAACAAAAGGTTTATATCTGCAATGTCAAGTTAGATTGTAAAATGCATTTTGAGTATAAGGTGAGTGTTTTACCTTAGAGCACCCTGACTGCTGTAATTCCCTTTCTGTGACTAATTAGCTCATTCAGGAGATCGACAATCTTTATCAAAGCATTTGAAATGCTCTCGACCATGGCCTGCCTTCTCTTTTTTTCTTTTTTTTTAACTTTTGTTGTTGAAGAGTAGGTCATAATGAGGGTAATTAGCTCTCATTAATTAACTGTGTTTCCTTCCCAGGAGAGTGACAATCTGTGGTGGGATGCATTCGCTACAGAGTTTTTTGAGGAGGACGCCACGCTGACCCTCTCCTTCTGTCTGGAGGATGGACCAAAGAGATACAGTAAGACATCAGCTTATCTTCATAAGGCAGTGTCACCTGCTTTGCACTTACTGATCACTCGCTAGACCGTCGCTAGTCTCCGTCTCATTTGAAGAGACGCATAGTTTAGTGATTATGAAGCTGGAAGTCTTTCCTTTCATCTAAGACTCACACATATTAACCCAGGAATATTCATCTGTTTGTACATGCAGTCAGAATCTTGTAATTTCCAAAGAGTCGTGAGAGTTGAGTCGTAAAATATCGACTAATAAAAGTAGAATTTTTGGTTGATTTAGTCTGTCTTTAACGTACATTCTCATATTTAAGAACCATGAGCTGTCTGAACTCTATACTCCACCAGAGGGCAGTGAAAGTCCATGTGTTTTGATTGGATCAGCATAGAAAGACTACTGCAGCTGGCTAAAGGCTACTGTGCATAGTACAAAGTGCAGCTCTAGCACATAAGAAGCATCACGATGTCAATAAATTTTAAGCTCAGGCTTATTTTACACAGTACTCATATTGATTTAATAACATTTTAATTTCAACATCTGAATTTATCCTGTTTGCTATCAGCTAACTATCTCTTCATAAACTTGCTGTTTTCCAGCTGAGGTGAAATAAGTTAACTGGCTAGTCATGTAAGCATCTGGTGGTCAGTAGCCTAACCTTGCATTCGTACCAGCCGCGACGCGACAAAGCGGCCGGAGGTCATTTATTTTCAAAGAGAGCTGACGATTTCTGGCAAGCATTGGCGGTGCGAAGTGGGCGAAGTCGGCGGTGCGACAAAGTTGAGTGGAGTTGAACTTCATGCAAATAAGGAGCGAAGCGATGTGGCTATTACCAATAGGAATTGAGCATTGAGCAGCGTAGTAGTTTATCTCTGCCACTGTGAACAGACTGCTATTCTTAAAATGTGTGTCAAGCTCTCTTGATTCCATCATTTCCATACACAATCTGTACCTTTTAATTCATTTACTTACTTAATTGTGTTGATGTAATACATTTTATTTTAGTAGAACTTTAAATCAAGTAACCTCAGTGCATTTGCTTTCAGTGTTACTACATTCAGTGAAAAGACATCTTGATTTTTTTGGATATTTTGTTTGTAATATTATATTGATATTTTGTCACCATGGGGGTTAAGCCTCAGTGTGGTTTTATAGCATTCAAACCAGCACCCTTAGATATCAGCCTTGTTCGTCCTGAAATGTTACAAACTTATTTGCCTTAACTAGGGTAGGAGATTATCATAATAAATTATGTTACAGTATGATTTATGAACATATTGTAGATAATGTCAGTACTTAAAAATGCTGACGAACTGCATGTTCCATTAACAGAGTGTAGTTACTCCTGTTTAATTGGATTTTATGCAGTGACAAAAAAATCATTATACTCATGATATTTGATAGAATTTCTTTAGCAGTGGAGCTTTTTTGCTGTTCCAACTTATCAAATCTTGAAAAAAAGAAATGCTGTGCTATGTATCATGTACTGTGGAAATATCTTATGGTATTGTGGTTCTATCGCACTCCTAGTTGTACCACTGAATATACTTTTATATGTGATAAAGGTTCCTAAATGGTTAGTTTGCAGTTAAACAAACTTGAATCAATATAGAACTTTCACATTAGACTTCAGAAAAGGTTCAGATTCTTTAGGGAAGGAAAAGTAGTTCTTGTATGAGCCAGTTTGCAGGCTAGTGAGCATTTGTCTTCATATCTTTGTAGAGAAAGTCTGGTGACACTTTATTGTGATTGGTCCTTTTTAGATGAAACAAACACTCAACAGACTCTCAGTAACATGTCAAAAACATATGAGGGTTAGGATTAGATTTGGGGTTGAGGTGAGGTTAGGGTTAGGATTAGGGCCAGGGTTAGGGTTAGGTTTTGGGTAAGGTTGGTAAGGTTAGGTTTTGTGTAATGGAAGTAGAATATTAACAACACATCTACTGGATGTAAGTAATGCATCAACAGAACGTATATATTATATTATACATTTTGTTTACTTCAGTGTATTCAGATGCTTCACTACTGCTACCTCACTGATATGTTGTTAATGCGTTACTGATAATCTATTAAGAGTTTAGTAATCGTCTACAAAGGACCACTTCAAATAAAGTGTTACCGAACTTTTCTGCTCAGTTTAACTGAGAAGAGTACAAAAATTGAGAATGTAAAAAATTGGAGAAACAACTGATCCTATCAGTTCTAAAGGGCTCTTTGGCAAGAGCTGTAGGCCTATGTACAACAACAAACCTTCATATTGCTGCTGTCGGAAGAAAACCTCGTATCTCAATTTTTGTCGTTTTTCAGGTTTTGACGTAGTTTGAAAAAACTTGTTGCCCTTTACATTGTATGTAAATTTCATGATGAGTGGACCAAAAGAAACGGCCCAAAAGGACTTGGAAAAAAGTCTGGTTCCATTGACTTACATTACAAGTAAAGTATGTCTTTACCTTCTCCTGTAAAGTTACCATTTGGGAGATATGAGGTTACGACAACAGCGATATAGCGGTTCAAACATCTAGGGTGAAGTTCTGAGGCTGTAATTTCAGTGTGGTCATCTCAGGCTATGTTCAGTATCAATAATGTAGATAATGATTGACTCCATTTATGGTCTAAAGCCTTGTGGCGTCTTTGCACATCCTGTACAGTAAAACACAGTTTTAGCTTTAGCTTATTGTGAATGCACACCACATTTGGTTTGTTTTTCTGTTCTCTCTCTCTCTCTCTGTCTCTCTCTCTCTCGCTCTCTCTCTCTCTCTGATGATTTGAGCAGTGCTGTCTATCTTTACCGAGTCCTGCGCCTTTGCTTAGTCATGCAGAACAGGCTGCTTGTTGTGGGGAGAGAGTGACTCAAACCCAGAGTCTTTTTCATGCCCCCCCTCCCTTCTTCCTGTCTTTGTAGTGCTGATTTATTCAGAAATACACACTTTTATTATGCAAACTGAAAATGCCGCTTGACTATGTGCAGTTAAACAGCGGCTTTTCTGCACCTTTCCTTAAAGAAAGCAGGGGTTTTTAACAGTTTGTTGTGGGTTCACTCCTGTTTAAAGGTGGACCTGTAGGTTTGTTGTGGGGCGTCAAATCGCATTTCCTGCAGTGGTGATATTACATTTGCGGTAAGAGTTGTTGTGGGACCGTGGGACTGTGAATGGGCATTATTTTAAAGATTTTAGACTCAGAGGCATTCTTATTCCGTTTATTTTAACTCGCTTTGTGCTAGAAGTGGGCAATATTATGATATGTTGTTATATTCACGACAAATTACATCAGGATATGCGTTTCTGAGTATAACACAGATATTGTCAGTGCCTCCAGAACACTGAACGACTGCATATATGTTTAAAAAAAGACAGATTTAGACTGAATATAGAACCTCTAAACAAGAACACATGTATAGTAAATATAAGAAGTTGCTGATTGGATATCATATTGAAAAAAGGGCTTTAAATGTACATGACTAAGTTTAAGTTACACCCTTAAAGTAAAGGGTTATTCGAGAGTTATTGAGTTAAAGGCAATTGTTACACATATAGAACCATGCTAACTCAAACAACTGCATGAGTGCATAACAGAGTCTTAGCATTGCTAAACTGCTGCTGTGTATAATGGAAAACCTGTAGTACATGATTCTTGTTCTAATAGAACCTTTATTAGGTCTTATGTGGAACACTTTTTGCTAAGAACATACTTTTCATATACAACTTTGTCAATTCAAAGCATCTGTTTAATTCAGTGCGGCTCATTAAGCCGTTATCTATTTTGATTCATTTATTTTTTATTAATTGTGGGATTTTCTTCCACTGTTTTTTTTTTAATATATTATTTTTCTCTATAAAACCATAACTCATATTGTGAACATGCCTTCAAGTATCATGATGTTCAGTTTTTGCCTTATTGATTACAATGGATTGCTGTGTACGTCTCATGGAGACATTATATGGTGATGGATTTATCCACTACAGTGAAGATATATAGTGTATGGATGGAGTGTGTGTGTATGGTTGGACTTTGTGTGTGTGGATAGAGTGTGTGGTGTTAAGGTTCGGTCTTCCTGCTTGTGTCCCTTGCTGGTGGATCAGTCGGTCCAGCTCAGCTATGACTCATCTTTAGTCATCCTAAATACATTCCTCTCAGACTAAACCACTAGCATATGCTTTCTCTCTCTCTCTCTCTCTCTCTCTCTCTCTCTCATTTTGTCTGTACATACATATATATATATATATATATATATATATATATATATATATATATATATATATATATATGGTACACTTGCTTGTTGTTGCCACACTCACTGTCCATTGTATCAGCGCTACTTACCATATAGGTGCGCTTTGTAGTTCTACAGTTACAGACTGTTGTCCATCTGTTTCTCTGCATACTTTGTTAGCACCCTTTTCACCCTGTTCTTGATCAGGACCACGGGACCACCACAGAGCAGGTATTATTTGGGTGGTGAATCAGTACTGCAGTGACACTGACGTGGTGGTGGTGTGTTAGCGTGTGTTGCGCTGGTATGAGTGGATCGACTAAAATCCTTTTGCTTTGAATGACCCTACGCCTTAATTATGTTCATTAATGAACATTCCTTTTTGTCACTACCAAACTAATCATAATACTACCGAAACTTTACCAAATGTTTTGGTAGTAACTGTTTCATCAGTGGCAGTTTGAGCTAATTTTGAGCGCAAAAAACACTAGTAACAGTAACCAGTAACAGCTGTACACACATACAATCATAATGGTTTTCATTAAAATGCAAAAAAGTTTACTTAATATCAGAAAATATGTGTTTCAGTAGTGATAGTTCTTAATGGTCCACACTGATAGTCAGATTTTGGGACACATTTACTTCAAAACAGTGGGATCGTTCATGAGGCCATGAGGGTCAGGGATGCAGTCTCACTTCCTGCTCTAAAATGCAGAGGTGTGGCTAAAATTAAGCCCAGCCCATGGACTAAATCTCTGTGTTTCGATAATGACATAAACATGTGACAGCATTCTTTAATT